AGTCAACTCGCCAATGACACAGAAAAACGGTAATTGTGCTCCGATGGGAGTATGCGCCATGCAATGCTATCCTACCAAAACGCCATGGTCTAAACGCCTTGCACCAATACAATATCACAGCTCCTCCACCTCTCGCTCAACACTGCTCGTCCTCTCACGAGCCTTTGACTTCCCTTTCTCCATGCGAAAGCCCACTTCCGTCCTCGCGTCATCCGTCAGCCTTCCCCACTCAAGCAACAGCCTGAACATGTAGACCTCCATGTCCTCCTTCCTCAGCACCTTCTCCGTCCATACCTTGCCATCTCGTGCGATCTTTTCTGCAGCCTTGATATGACCCTCCATCATGCGCTTGTTCCTCGCCTCGACACCGTACCCACCGAAGTAGGCGAGCGAGGAAAAGAGATCGTGTAAGCGAAGATCCACAGGAACGAAATGTTTCCAGGCAGTGAGGCGGCCTTCGTACCATTCACGAAATAGGGCAGCTTTGAAGACCACGGAGTTGGACTGTAAGAAAGGGAGGAAACGGCCAGAAAAGCCGGCGCCATCCGCGTCGAAGAGGTAGCGGTAGCGCCAATGCTGTTTGAAGTCGATAGGATCGCCGAAACCGAACTCGCGTGTCTGGTCGATGCAATCTTGGCCTGCACAGCGCGCTATCGGACCCACTAGGCGGACATCAGTCTTTGTCTCGAGAAGCCTCTTGATGTCATTAGTGCGCTTCAGCATGTACTCCAGGTGGCCACTATGATCGGGTTTCGGGAGAAGGATCGGTTGACGGGATGTTTCGTTGTTCAGGAGATGTACGATTCGTTGACGGAGCATGCCCTTCCAAGTGCCATGGGTAGTCACACCTTCCGTAGTCGTCCCGCGCCAGAAGAGGACATCCGCTTTGTCTTGGAAGTGAGGATCAGGGAACTTTTCATCGAATCCATACTTGCTTTTGCCCAAGTAATTCCACGGTGATGGGTATCTGATGTCGACGAAACCGGGAGCACGACTCTGGCTGAAGACTGGAACCATATCATGAGTACCCATGAGGCTAGCAGGACTGAGATGCATGCCATGTAGATTGGCGATATCTGGTTGATGGCACGGTTCAGATGACAGAGTCCAATTAGCCACGAATGCGCCCATGGAATGGCCTTGGGTACAAGTGTGACAGAAGGATCTCGTCTGCCAATGCCGTTCTTTTCGTGCGCGCGAGTCAGGTGGGCATGCGACAGAACCGAAAGTCTCATACGAATGCTTGATGCGAGCGTCGACGAAGAAATGCGGGTCCGTTCGTACGCGGTCCACGTCCAGCCATTTTTCTGCGCGGTCGGCGCTGAAGTCTTTTCCTGGGCGAGACGAATCAGGGGAGGGGTACTGCTGTGGTTTGTCAAGCGCATCTCGCAGCCGCTCGTACGGTGCAGCCACGCGACTCTCATCATTCAGGTTCAGGGCAAGATCCATGTCTGGAAGCGATTCGGAGAATTGCTGGATCATGGCCGCCGCGCCATCCATCATCCAACGATGCGTACCGGGGACGTTGTTGAAGACCTCCACCTTCCCGTTTCTTATGCGTAACCCACCGACCCCCTCATGCGTAGCCAAGACAGTGGCAGTACGTAAGCGAAGATCATCAGCATTGAAGGACGAGAAGGGTGCCAAGTCTTGTTCGATGTTGTCGTAGTCATCGATTATAATGGAGTTCCGGCTAATGGCGAAGTGGTACCACTGGTCGAAATTCGGCGGAGGATCGCGGTTGTAGCGTTTCCGATAGTGCACAACGGCCTCAGAGAGGGATTTGCTCCGGTAGGCTTGTGATGCCCACCGGTCGTGCTGGACTGTCGCGATATCGATCAGGGTAGTGATGGGATGTTCGAGAACGGGACCGTGCCGACGATATAAGATAACACCAATGGAGAAGGCGATAAGAAGCACGATGAATCCAGCCGACTGGTTCCTGCCCAGGCGGATGGGTACTTTCGATCGTATGCGGGTTTCGATGCTAGTGTCTGTGACGAGGTAGAGGATGAGCGCAATGGTGAGCAGAGTCAAACACAAAACAAGTCCGACGGTGGATTTTGGTGGGAACGAATAGGACACGCCGGTGCCCAGAGCACGGAGAACGCCAATGTATGCAGAGGAAAATGCACCAAGGAGCAAAGCGCTCATAACGCCATACAATCGAGCCTAGGAGGTCAGCGACAGAGTACCAGATGGGATGTAGTAACGTACCGATTTGAGGAAACATAATGTCATAAAGGGTATCATCAACGATAAACGCAAAAGACCAAGGAGATATTCAGACGGAAAGGAGAGCATCCACTCGCGATGCTCAGGCATTGCGGGGTATATGATGATGCCGGCGACGAGAAGGACCAAAGAAGATGCCTGTTTAGGGTCAGATGTGTAATGGTGCTTGAAGGCGATTGACCTACAGTAAGTGTCAAGCCGACAAGGAGGTGATTCGAGGTGCCATCTGGAAGATGGATTGTCCAGTTGTCCGCCTCAGAGATGTCATCGTCAATCAGACGGTATGCTATCTGGACGATGACGCAGTCCAGCAAGAAGCCGAGGAACTGAAGGAAAGGAATGGCGGTTGCAGTCGAGTCTGCGACGGGACAGATGTAGTTGGAGCGCAGCGAGCTGGACTTGATGATGACAAGGAAGCTGCTGACGGAGAGCAGGAAAGAGGGAATGATGTATCGCGTGGAGCCGTCGAAGATGAAGCTGTAGACGCAGTCGAGCTGGGTACGCGGGCGCGTGTCGGCACTCCAGGCGGGGTATTGTCGCTGACTGGGGTGCCGAATACTGTGGTAGAGGGCAGCGACGAGGGGAAGGAATGACTATATCGGTCAGTACGGTTGGCAACATAGGAGAGGTTTGCGCACCAATGCAGAGGGGCCGCTGCACTCAACGTCCTTGGTGACGCGGTAGAAGATGGCTATGCGCCCGCATATCGCGAACAGCAGGACGGCCAACAGCGCGCCGACAGCCCGGACGCTCCATCCTCTCCGTCGGCCTGGCTGGCCTGCCTCGGTCCATATCTCTTCGGCTGCCGGTCTGCTCTGCACCTGGTTCAGGGCAATGGCGATATATCTTGTATGCGGTTGCGGCTGTGCACTGCGCGACGACCAGGCTTCAATTGCGACCACGGCGAGGCCAGTCAGCAGCAGGACGATGGCGACGGTGTGCAGCGGCTTGTCGAAGGCGAAGGAGTAGTCGACGGGGGTTGGAGTGCTCAGGTACCCGGATGCTAAGACGAGGCCGCTATTGTCTTGTCAGCTGGTGTGCTGCTGGTAGCCTAGGACTGTGCTTACCACGGGAAGAAGAGGGCCTTCCTGTCCATGACCGCCGCATTCTTCGTGGCTTTTCTTTACAGCGGTGGGGGGAACAAGTAGTCGCGACAGGCAGCGCTCAACATGGCCCGATGGTGAATTGGGCGACGTGAGCAAGTGATTGTACTGAGGCCCGCGTCACTTGGAGCACGGCTGCCCGGCACCTGCAGCCATACCACCGGGCTGTGCTAGAGACCCTCACACTAACGGGAGGTGGAGAAGTCCGTGCCCACCCCGAGTCGAACCTCTATTAGCGCTTCTGCTATACGCAAATACGCACTTCTACGACGCATCCCATGTTTCGTCCACTGCCACTCGCTGCGTCGACATCGCATTCGATGGGTGAAGGCACCCTGCAGTCGCCGATCGGACCCTGGGACGCCATCTCCAGGAACCGTCCGCAATTACATCACGCACACGAGACGGCTATCACGGCAGGTCTTGCACTGCTTCGCCCCGCTGTGAGACGTGCGCAACTTGAGATCGCCGCTCTTGGTCACCCTTAGCGGTATCAACTCTTCTTCAATTCTTCACCATGATGTTTGCCACTGCGACACCGAGTTCGCTATGAGACAGCAGTCGTCATCAGCCCTGGCGCTAAGCTACTATCGAAACAGCTTTTCTTGCGAGCGAATGGTGGGGTACCTACATGTCTTCAGACGCGGGAACATGCATGCGCCTCACTTTGTGGTGGCGCCAAGCACACGCGGCTGTCAGCATGTCATGCTCGTATTGGTATACGAATACAGTCATGATGGTGTCCACTTTGACGTTTTCGCATTGTAATGACTTCAAGACTAACAGGCCCAGAGACGAAGGAGCTTCTTTCGTGGTAATGCAGCAAAATCCAAGCTGTCGGCAAGAATTGGCCGAAGACCGTTACTGCCAGCCTGATGTCCGCAAAAGCGCCGTGGATTCAAAGGCTTCCACCTCCAGGCCTCCGGTGTGAATACACGATCTGTCCAAACTTCAGCTTAGAGAGGGTCTAGCTTTCCTGCGCGCCGATGATCGACATCATGTATCGATGGGTGGGAGTATCTCAAACGCTCGCCAGCGACATCACTACTATACAATATTTCCAGAGTTGTATCAACCTGATGTGGCAGGTACCATATACTGGACGCATACTCACACAATTTTCATTGAACAAAAAGAGATATAACGACCTGCAGAGGGGGAGCGTGGCCGCTGTCATATGCACATCTGAGGCGCGCTTGAGCTCTTCAGATATTTGAGGATATGCGCAAACGCTGTCATGTCTCTTGGACCCTGAACCGTAACGGGTTATTCACCAATGCCGCAGGCAAGACTTCACCCCGCCGTTCCTAGCACCGCTCCCGGCGTGTCGTCGTCTTCACTTTCACCGGATCACCATGAAATCTCGAGCGTCCAATCGACTAGCGCACGCTGGCTACTTCTGCTCACGGCTTTGGGTTGCTCTCTCCATCAAACACTACCTCACGACACACCAAAGCGGCTTCCGACGCAGTACCTAGGTACCCGATGACCGTCACTAAAGCTCGCGGCGCTGCCAAAAAGGCGAAGAAGCACCACCCACTCTCGTAACTAGCCTGAATTCATATACTGGCGGCATCAGTTAACACATTACCAAGATTCGGTCAGAGATTTCTTCGCTTATACGTGGGCTCACCGCGTCGTACGTTCTCGGTTCACGAAGATATGCTTTGCAAGAGATCAGCCTTCTTCAAGAATCGGTTCCAAAGAGCACGGAAAGACATTGAAGGCGAATGTGTCATATGCCACGAAGATCTCGATACCTTGACTGCAAACTTGACGTACTGCAAGGCATGCGGAAACAACCTTCATCAAGATTGCATGAACAAATGGCACGACACCAACAGCACTTGTCCTACATGTCGCGCGGAGTGGGTCGCTTCAGAGTTCTTCGAATCCATGCATCTTGAACATGTTGATGCCAACGGCTTCGATGTATACATTCAGTGGCTCTACGGATCTGGCATCCCGACCTACAACGCGGACAAGGGAGACGATGAACTTCGTTGCATCCGGCTGATCGACGCGCACATCGTGGGCGACTTCGTCAAAGACAGCATGTTCGTTCAAGCCGTGCGCCAGGAGATCATCATGTGTACCCTGAATGTCTCAGACGTCTCTCGAAACAATCTCACTGTTCGTGTATACGCGAACACCAATGGTGCCTGCGCTCTTCGAAAATGCTTCATCGACTTGTGTATTCTCAAGGGTAAAGACATGATGTCTCTATTGCCTGAAAACCCCGCGGGTATTGTTCAGGATCTTGTTGCACGTTTACTGCAGAGGGCAAAGGCTCGCAGTGACAAAGATATCTGGACCTTCATGAGTGCTGCTGGTCATATCGAACAGGATGACGCAAACAACGAGGCAGAGAACGAGGAGGACAACGAGACTAGAATTGAGAAGCTGGACAGTTGAGCAGAATTTCTGACTCGAAAGATGATGCTTAGATGGCGCCGTAGTATCTATCTCGCCCAGAGTGGTCGTGAGGGACAGGCTGGGTCATTCGAGCAACCACATCATGACCTCTACGTACTCTTGAAGACATTGGCTATAAGAGAGATTCTAGCCGTAATTTATGACAATTGAAGTGCGGTCTAAGAGATACTGAACTAAAGCGCAACCACTCGAGCGCGTGCCAGACGTACTGGCGACGTCGTCGAACATCACCCCCAATGAATAGTGCATCCAGTGGAGTCATCATAGCACATAACCCGGAAGCACACCCAGGATCCAGCATATCAACTACACACCCGCTCCAAACAGGCATCAACATCGCGCCTTCCAAAGCCTCGAAATGTGTCCTGTCGTCTCCGCCAAGCCGCTCGCATCCCACTCCCGACCTCGCATCCCTCGCCCAAACCAGGTTAGTCATCAAACCACCGAAGAACCACCAGGTTCCTGCATGCCACTAAACCAAACCCGGCATTGTAAACTTCATCAACCACCCACCACCAACCTCCTCCAACCAATCACGCGCACTACGCAGACGTGCGCACGACGCCCGTGGAATCCGGGTCGGAGGGTTTGGCACGACCGTCTCGCCGTTACGCACGTTTGTTTTTGCCGATGATGGGGCTGAAAGGCGCGAGAAGCACGTTAGAACCACGTTTACGCTTCTAGCAAGCACCTGGGCATGCAAGGCGCAGGTGGCCCTGCGTTTTTTTAGGCTGACAGGCGGTGGTGCGGTACTGGTGTATTCGGTATGTTCCGGATGGAAACGTGGGTGGAGGTACATATACGAGGCTATAGTACTTCGAGGTAGTTGAAACGCTCCATCAATTTCGACTTTCTTACCTGCTTTCGTGTGTGTGGGGGTATTCAACTACCAGGACGCTATGATGGATGCTACCAGCACCCCACCAGAAAAGGAACCGCACATATCCTCCCAACCCATCACCTGGAAGAACTGGTACAAGAAGATAAACTGGCTCAACACAACCCTCGTCATCTTAATCCCAAGCTACGGTCTCTACCTCGCCCGCTCCACACCCCTCACCCTCCCAACTTTTCTATGGAGTATTGTCTACTACGCCACAACCGCTTTCGGTATCACAGGCGGATACCACAGACTATGGAGCCACAGATGCTATTCCGCACGCCTTCCCCTACGCTTATTCCTCGCCTTCACAGGAGCAGGTGCGATTCAGGGAAGCATACGGTGGTGGAGCGCTAATCACCGTGCTCACCACCGGTGGACGGATACGATGAAAGATCCCTACTCCGTTATGCGCGGACTGCTCTTCTCGCATATCGGATGGATGGTGTTGAACAACGATCCGAAAGTTAAAGGACGAACGGACATCTCTGATCTGGATAGCGATCTCATCGTCGTGTTCCAACACAAGCATTACGGCAAACTGCTCCTGTTCACAGCCTGGATCTTTCCTGCCATGGTTGCTGGTTTGGGATGGGGCGATTGGTGGGGCGGATTGGTGTACGCGGGTATTATACGGGCGTGTTTCGTGCAACAGGCTACGTTTTGTGTGAATAGTCTTGCGCATTGGATTGGCGAGCAGCCGTTTGATGATCGGAGGAGTCCGAGGGATCATGTGTTCACTGCGCTGGTGACGATGGGGGAGGGGTATCATAACTTCCATCATGAGTTTCCGTCTGACTACCGTAAGTTGCTGTTTCTTTTGAACTATGGGAGCCATGACAATACTGATGCTGGAAAGGGAACGCGATTGCCTGGTACCAATACGACCCTACTAAATGGCTCATCTGGATCATGTCGAAGATCCCGGTCTTTCCTCTAACATACGACTTGAAGACTTTCCGCTCGAATGAGATTGAGAAAGGTAGACTCCAGCAGCAACAAAAGGCTCTCGACAAGAAGCGGTCGATGCTTGACTGGGGTGTACCGCTGGCTCAGTTACCGGTGATCAGTTGGGACGACTTCCAGACTCAGGCTTCAGCCAAGGGTGCTGCTTTGGTGGCTATTGCTGGGGTGATACATGACGTTTCGCCGTTCATCGCTGATCATCCGGGCGGTAAGACGCTGATTAAAAGTGCGGTTGGAAAGGACTCCACTGCGGTGTTCAACGGTGGGGTATATGAACATTCGAACGCGGCACATAATTTGCTGTCGACAATGCGTGTTGGCATATTGCGAGGCGGACAGGAAGTTGAGGTTTGGAAAACAGGTGCGGAGAAAGACACCAGAGACACCAAAGGGCTCGGTGTTGTCAGGGCTGGTGATCAGATCACAAGGGTAGCTGCGCCAGCTACGGCAGCCACAGCAGCCTGAACAAATATGAGGTCGGGTATTGAATCGTTTATTTCAAACACAGAACTCTGGGTCCGTATATGATCCTTATCTTACTTGCCCGAAGGCACCTCCTCCCACTGCACTCCGACCCATTCCTCCACATATCCAACTTCTCCTTCCTGGACATCGTTGGGCTTGCAGTCTCTGCTGCACACAGCCATAATGATAGTGCCCCATTCCATGCCGTCGAGGCTCATCTCATCAGCCTCTAACTCCGTGATCGCGTGTGGGGTCAGCTGAACCTCGAAGACTCTGTCCGCGCCACAGGTCGAACAGCGAGGGAACCCAGCCCCACTCCGTGAGCCTGCTGTCTTGACCTTTGCATTCGAGGAAGGGCCATTCTCCGAGTGTGGACCCAGAAGCTTGCCGATAGCATCGTTGTCGCTGTACAGGAGCGGCTTGCCTTTGTACTCATATCGTAGCACCTGCTCTGCATTCTCTCCGATGCGATCTGCAAACTTCTGGAACGTCCTGTCCATGGATGACTCAAACACCTCCTTGTCTTCTTTTCCACCACCGCTACCGCTTCCTTCGTTATCTGTGTCCATCCGCACGTTCGCTGGGATCGAGGGTGTTGAAGGGGCATCTAATGTCTCGTATTCGGCGTCGAGGTGGTAGTGAGGGAATGGCGTAGGGAAGGCTGAGTCTGCTGGCCATGGCTCATGTGGACGCGGGGGTTGTTGTTCGGAGGGAGGTGGTGACGAGAGACGAACTTTGGACGCGAATGTCTCGGGGAGGGTCGTGGAGGCTTCGTCTTTCTTCTCTTGAGGCTCGCCCACTTGCACCGCGGGCGCGGGAGTCGATGCGCCGAAGGGATTGGCACCTGGTTTGGAGAATGGGTTTGATGACGCTGCGCCATTCGGGTTGGACGAAAACGGGTTCGAGAAGGGGTTCGCAGATGTCGATGCGCCTGTCCCGTTCTTCACTCCGAACAGGGACTCGCCAATCTTGGGCTGCGGCTTCTCTTCTTCCTTGACTTCCTTCTTCTCGGCCCTGGGGGCGCTAACCTTGTTGTTGGCGCCTTTTGCGATGCGCACTCCGCGTATGCCCCTTACACTGCCCTCCTTTCTTCTACACGGCTTGCGCCGACATGTCCAGATGTAAAGTCGCCGCTCGTGGCCAGGAAAGTTTTCGGGAAGATCGCCGTTAAGTTCGAGGAGGAGGCTGAGGTAGCCATTGCAGACTTTGCATTTTGCTAACGCGCCAGAAGGGGCTGTCTTCTCATCTATCCAGCTCTACTATGATCGTCAGAAAGACGCTCGGCGTGGTTGATGACATGCGTACCGGTGCGCCTCCAATGTGGGAAATCGCGTCGCCCGTTGCTTCCCTCGCTGCATATCCTAGCAGAACATTCGTCTCGGTGTAGTCGCCTCCATCGTCCGAGGAATCACTATCATAGGGCGCCATTCTGGTTGTTCATGTGTATATTTCCACAGTTGATTGTTTGGCGGGGTCTAACTTTTTTGAATATGACGCGGGGCTGCTCGGTGGCCAATGCGCCTTTTGTCGCACTGAGCGAATTTGACCAAGCCTGCAACACCAACTCTTCGTCGCTCATCCACACAACCACCATGGGCGCCCCTTTCGACTTCGCGCCTGAGCGGCCGGATCACATGCAGCAGATCCTCGATGGACTGGATCGCTACAACCCAGAGACGACGGGTGTCTTCCAGGACTATGTCATGCAGCAGTGCGAGAACCAGACGTACGACTGCTACGCCAACCTCGCCCTGTTGAAGCTGTACGTGTCCCCCCTACTCTTCCCCCCATGCTACAAGATGAATAAACAACCACAACGTTTCCTATTACCCGAGGGATGGAGCATGAATCACTCCCCCGCTGAAGTTTATTATTAGCTCTATCTGACAGCTTTCTCCTGACTATTATTGTACCTCAAGCATCATCGTTACATCTGCTAACCACGAGGCTCTAGCTACCAATTCAACCCACACCTTGCCCGTGACGAGACCATCACCAACATCCTCGTCAAGGCTCTCACCGTCTTCCCCAGCCCCGACTTCTCCTTGGGCCTCTCCCTCCTCCCTCCACACGTCCTAGCTCCTCTGTCATCTTCATTACACAACCCAGCTGCCGGTGATGCGCCGCTATCAGAAGCTGTCCAGAAGCTCAACGAGCTGAGGAATCTGCTCGAAGGTGCCGACTACTCTACCTTTTGGTCTACACTAGACTCCGACGACCTGTACGCCGACTTAATTGCCGACGTCTCAGGGTTTGAGGAGCTGATGCGCGTACGCATCGCTGCAACCGTCAGCCAGGCGGTGCGCGAGGTTGACCGCAGCATCCTCGAGTCGTGGTTGAACCTCTCTGGAAGCGAGTTCGACAACTTCGTCGGAAGCGTTTGCGGGTGGAACATCGATGGTGCCAAGATCAAGGTGCCCATCAACAAGGACAACGAGGCTAAGGGCACCGTTGTCCGTGAGAACGTCAAGTTCGATCGTAAGTACACCAGCACCACGAACGTCGAGTCGCTGCTAACAAGCCTATCAGAATTCGCAAGGGTCATCAAGAGGGCATACGAACAGCCCGCATGAGCGACACGATTTATAGTATGACGACATGAGGCTACGGTTTGCACGGTCGGCGTTTGAGGCGGACATTACAGCTGCATCAGTATGCGACAGAAGCG